TCATAGAGTCATGGAATGGCTTTGGCTGGATGGGACCTCAAAGATCTTCTCATTTCACCCCCTATCAGGGACAGATAAAGGAACCATTTCTGCTAGACCAGGTTGCTGCCAGCTCCATCTAACCTGGTCTTGGACACTTCCAGGAACAGGGCAGTCTCTGTCAAGGCATCACCATGCTGACAGGGAAGAGTTTCTTCCCAATATCCCACCTATCTCTCCCCTCTCTCAGTGTGAAGCCATTCCCATGCCAGGCCCTTGTGCCAAGTCCCCCTGCAGCCGTTTTGTAGTCCTTTTATCTGCTGAAAAGTGATTAAAGGTCTTCCAGGAGAGAACAGCCTCATTGCATTTCTTTTGGTCAGTTTAAGAGTTGCGTTTCATCTAAGCCAGTTCCTGCACTGCTGCAAACCCAGGCCTGGTGGAGCATCCACAGTCTTCCCACAGTCCCTGTGGGGCTGCGAGGGAGCCCAGGTGGTCTGACAGCATACTGGTTTGCAGGCACAGGACAGTCTTCTTTATGGACCGTCAAGCTGACATAAAACCTGACTTGGAGGGAATTGTACAAAGGCTTCACCCAGGGAAAGTCTTTGCACTGAATTCCAGAGGAGAAAGGAGTCTATGCCCCAGCAACCCTATAGCTCAGCGAGGGGCTCACGGGGTTCCTCCTGCACCTCCGGCATGAGGAACAGCACCCCACTGCTTCCCCTGCAAGGGCTGATCCCAGGGGATGCTCCCAGCCAGGCCCTGGGTTTACTGTGCCAAACCAGTGAGTGGCCACATCTGAAACCCAGGTGAAGCAGCAGGTTGGTGATTCTCTCACAGGGACTGAGCTCTGTGGGGCTGCTGGCCCTTACCCACGGCCTCTGCCCAGAAGCTGCTTGGGGGATCCCTCTCTTGGTGAAAACAAACATAAATGGACCCTTTGGGCTTCATCTGGGCCTTTGTGGTTGTTGCGGTGCCCAGCCCGTGGTCACTCACACTGACAGTTCACTGCACAGCAAAGCCAGGCTTAGTGCCTGCTCCACGGTGCAGGAAGGAACTAAGAGCATGAGATGCCACAGACAGGACACTGACACAGCAGATGAACAACTGGCTGAGCTGTAACTCAAGTCTTAAATGGATTAAAAGAAAAATAGTGAGGCCTCTCCTGTCCTGCGAGACTTTCAAGCGCTCTTCAGTCACTAAATGGCTCCAAATGGGCTGGAGAGGGACTTGGCATAAGGGCCATGAACGACAGAACAAGGGGAATGGCTTCACACTGTGAGACAGCAGGGTTATTGGAAAGAAAATCTTCCTGCAAGGGTCACGATGCCTTGTCACAGGCTGCCCAAAGAAATTGCGTCTGCCCCATTCCTGAAAGTGTCCTGGGTCGTTGTAGATGGGACTTGGAGCAACCTGGTCTAGTGGAAGGTGTTCCTGCCCATGGCAGGGTATGGGAAAGAGAGGATCTTTGAGGTCCCTTCAGCCCAAGCCATTTCATGACTCTGTGACTTCATGAGTTGGAGCTCCTGCAATGCAGCCACTGGCTGTTGAAATCCCAGCTAGCAGTTTGCCGGTGTGGCCGGTGAGGGCTATGGGAGTGGCTGCCCCTGGGTGTCTACCGAGGCTCCCAGGTGGCAGCGTGTGCAGCGGCATGGGTAGTGCTTGCGCTGAAGCACTGCGAGGATCCGAGGTGAAGGAACAAAGGAGAGGACACTTGTATGATGTCCAAGGAGGTTTTATTCCATGAAACGGTCAGGGAGCAGTCAGAAAAATGGGGTCGGGCTACAACTTATAAAGGGTGTGGGCATGAAGGGGTGGCAACATGGAACAACCAGTGAGGGTAATTACAGGAGAATTACATCATGGGTTACAACTAATGGAGCATAGAGAAGGGTGGGGAGAAACCTTGAGGACTAATCAACCATTAGAACATGGGTGATTGACAGGAAACTTTCGAGAACAAAATGGGGTGGCTACACTGATAGACAGGGAGGTGGGCAGCACAACTTGGATTGACAGAACTATTTATAGGTAAAAGTGGAGGAATGGGGAGATTGGCACTTTGAGGGACAGTAAAGTGGCAGGAAAAAGCATTGTGAGGGGAAGAAATAGGGGGTACAAGGAACACACCAACTGAAACTTCCTAACATTAAACTCCTAACTCTTTTAACAAAGCACTGTCAAACCCTATAAAAACACCCCCCACATCTCCCCCTTTTCTGTTTTATAAGTTTGATGGAGCTTGGGGAGAGGTAGAGTAGCAGCTCTTCTAGACTTCATTGCTGTCTTATCTGTCGCCTTCCCACCATTCATTTTTGGTGTGGCTGCCTCAGCAACGACAGTCTCAGAAGCCAAAGATTTGGCAGGGCTGGTAGAGAGAATTTAAGAACTCCAAATGTTAATGAAACTAAAAATATTACAACTATAAGAAAACCAACATCTTTCATAGTAGATATCATCCACCCAGAGAGGTTCCAGTTCTTAAACATGTCTCTGAATCCAGTCGTGTTCTCTTGTTTTACGCTGCCGATAAGGTCTTTCATTTCTCGGATGGACGAGTGGACACTTTGGCTTCTTGATGACAAGTTGAAGCAGCACAGCCCCTTGAACTCCTGACACCCATGCCTGTGTACCAGCAGCAGAAAATCGATGGCAGCCCAATTTTGTAAGGTCACTTTCCTGGTAACTTCCTCGTCTTCTGGAGGTTACTTAGGGCAATCGATGTTAAATTGGCTTGCTTTGTAACCCAGCATTCTAGATGTCCCAATTCACTTAAAGACTTTGCTGCCGCCACCCAGGGTACAAAACGGAGATGGCAACTCTTTTGGATTTGGCCCAATGATAAATTTTGCTACAATGTTTGTCTAATTCTTCTGCACCCCTTTTAACAATTTTCTGTTTGGCCTGCCAGATCGGAATTGGGTCATGTTGGGGAAAGCAAGTGAAAGACGCCCCAGGGTGCATGGAGCCCCTAGGAGGCGAGAGGAGATTCCTGGATATGCCTGATTTCCACAGATTAAAAACTTCCCCTTGTCTAACTTGCAGGCGTAGGAATCAGCAGCTGAGGGAGCACCCACTTTGGTGATACAAGTGCACCACTGGTCAGCTCTAATTTCTACCTTATGTTGTTTCATATGGTCGTAGAGATCGGGTGGGCATGTGGCATAAAGTCAAACTGAACACAGTAATTCAGTCTTGTGGAGCCCAGTAGCTCAAATTCCTGGGGCTCTGCATTCGGCAGTGGGCAGGTCATATACCCATTTCCACCACAGCCCTAGGGGGTTGGTAATAGCTGTTTTTGCATATTCAGAAATCCCCCAATATCTAGAAATTTCTGCCCAGGTGTTTGGCAGGTTCTTTTTATTAAACTCATGCCAGATCCTGACCAGGGTGCTGGGGGTACTCACTATTTTTCCTGGAATCCCCACCAGGCAAGTAGACATCGGATTTTCTGCTGCAGATGTTGAAAGGCACAGATGGTCTTGCTGGAGGGCATGGGCCGGAGTTATCCACACATTCTTTCGGGGCTGTGGGATGATCCACGCATCCAGCAAGGACTGGTAGAGGTTCATAAACTGGAGACAAATGAAGATCATGAATGCAGAAATTGACATGGTGGGAGTCTGAAAGAAAATGAAAACATAAAATGGAGTAAGAAGACACTAGGGAAGAAAATGCCACTTGCTTTAACTGTACTGAGGGAAAGAAGGGACTAGGGGTCTTTTCTCCCCTTGCGACGCTGTCTATTGGATGCGACTGCATCATCTGTGGGGTCATTCAACGTGTTTGGGGAGGCACACTCTGATGGACTCACTTCCTATTCTGGTGTGTAAGGTTTGATTAATTTCTTAGGGATCCATTTGACTCCTGAGGACATGGACACGCATGCATACCCACGTCCCCAGGTGATAAACTGGTACAGACCCAGGCTTTCCCCAGAGTCTGGATCCCTAATTAATACTGGTGGTCTTTCAATGGGTCTTAACTGCAGGTGCTGCTTAAAATGACACAAGACTGGCAGCTCAGGCCTATCAAAAGAACAGTTCAAGAAAATAATACTGAAAAGGGCCTTGTGGAGCTTGAGCTGTAGTGATGAAACTCGAACATCTCTCCGCTGGCAAAGGAGGACTTTCTTTAGCATCTGGTGTGTTCTCTATATGACAGCCTGGCCAGTGGGGAAGTGTGGAATCCCCCTCTGATGGTTAACCCCCCATTCCTGTGAAAACTCACCGAACGCCTTGGAAATTTAAGCTGGGCCATTGTCAGTTTTGATGGTGGTGGGGACCCCCAAGGTCGTGAATGCCTGCACGAAATGTTTTTGTGCATCCGCGGCCTTTTCTCCTGTGTGAGCCGAGGCAAAGACTGCTCCGGAGAAAGTGTCCACAGAAACATGTACATACTTAAATCTGCTGAACTCAGGTAAGTGGGTGATGTCTGTTTGCCACACCTCACAAGCGCGGAGTCCTCTGGGATTCACACCAGAACCCAGAGATGGTAAAGAGGACTCCTGGCAGTCGGGGCATGTGGCCACAATTGCCTTGGCCTGGTCACGCTGCAGTTGGAATTGGCGGACCAGACATGGGGCGTTCTGGTGGAACTGTTGATGGTTTAGTTTGTCCTGTTGGAAGATGTTAGGTTGGCCAACCAGCTGTAGGGGAGCGGCCAGAGCATCTGCCCTACTGTTCACTTCTGAGATAAAACCAGGGAGGTCAGTGTGCGACCTCACATGCATTACATAACAGGGTTGCTCTCAGTGGGAAACCAGACAGATCAGCTCCGAGAGCAAGCTGAATATTACCGGGTTGGAAACTTTGAGCACTGCATGCTCTGCCCTGGGTACCACACCCGCCACATACTCCAAATCTGTAGCAATATTGATTATTCCAAAAATACCTCAAAGGCCCTGAGGACAGCGTCTAACTCAGCCCTTCACAACCTTTACGTCGGCTTCTCACTGCTGAATGATGATCCTTCCATGTCACCACAGACTTGTGGGACCCTCCCCACCGGTATGGGGAGTTATGCGGTCCCCCACTTGCACTGCCCTGTCTGGCCCACCTCTCTGTCCTAAGGTTGCTGAAAGCATATCTGATGAGCTGTGTCTGCTTTCAATCTGAGCTCAGGCTTGGTGGGCAGTTGTGTGCCTCCTGTGAAAGCAGTTCCCAAAACCCAGCCCTGCCAAGAGCAGTAGAGTGGCACAGCAGGGTAAAGCCCTGGAGGCGAAAGTGCTGGGCACTGAGTGTCCTCTGCCCTGTCCCACAGGAGGCCGGTGGCCCATGGCAGGTTCCCCCGTGTGCCACAGAGCTCTGGGGACCATCAGAGCAGCAGCTCCACAACGCAGAACATCAGGGCTTCCCTACAGAGAAGCGGTCAGCAACAGGCCTTGACAGTCCAGAAAAAGGTAGGAATGATGAAGGGGTGGACACAGAATGACGACTGAGGCTTGATGGCATTGCTGACTATCCAGAGGGAATCTGTGCCTTCAGTCCCCAGGGAGACCTGGATTGGGAGGATTATTAGGGGATGCTGGATTGGTTGGGCCCAGCATTTCAGCTTGTTGCCCTCTCCTCCTCAGCCCAGTGTGACCCAGCTGCTGGACAGTGATGGACACATCTCAAGGGGCCGTAAAGTCCAGCATCCTACGGCGATCAGGACACAGGATACATCAGGTATGGCCCTGTTAGGGCATGGGGGTCAACGAGGACAGGGGGCTGATTATCTGTGGGGTAGCGGCTGGGGGATGAGCTTCGTGTGCAGAGCTGGGCAGGTTGGGATGGGGCTTGGGGCCCTGACCTGCTTTGGAAGGGGCAGAAGCAGAATGGACGAGAAGGACTGGCTCATGGGGCAGCTGAGCTTGGCTCTCTGAGGGTCTCTCACTAGGCAGGTGACACTTGTGCTGGCCACCCTGGGCCGGCAGAGTCTCTCCAGCCAGGGGCAGTCCCTGGCAATGAGGGACTCACCCTTGGCCTTCAACCCCCAGGCCCTGCCGCCTCACGAGGGCCCCGGCCAAGCACAGCCCCCCGACACATCTCGAGTGCACCAGGGCTCGTCCAGCCTCTCCAGCCCCTCCGGACATCCACAGCCCCCAGCCAGCTGGAAAGGACTCCGCGCCCAGTGCTCGACCTGGGACATCTCCTCAGAAGCGAGAAACGCCTGTGACTCTGCTGTTGAGAAGCATGATGTTTTATTGTATTAAGTTAATAAAACTGGTTAAACTGTAGGCAGAGCCTTGTCTCAGCAGCCTGTCTCTTCCCCGGGCTCCCTGACGCTCCTTAAGCTCCTGGCCCCGCTGTGGCCGGGCCCCAGGCCGAGCAGACGGAGCCCTGGGCCGGGCCCTGAGGCTGCTGCCGGTCCCGCGGCGCCCGCGGGGCAGCTCTGACAGCCGGGCCCGCTGTGGCAGCGGGAGCAGCGCTGCACAGCCGCGGCCCTGCCGGGCTGGGCGGCCTCGGGCAGATCCCCGCGGGGCCCGGCTGGCACTGCCGGCGCTGCTGCTCTCGGCTGCCCCTGAAATCCTCACAGGCAGCCCTGGCGCCGACTCAGGAGCCGCTTGCAGCCGTGCCCCACGGCTGGCCCCGAGCCCCGGCACCCAAGTGCCCTCGTCCTTTCATCCCTGCACGGGGAGGCTGCAAGCTCATTTGTCAGCTTCCTCCTCCTCTTCCTCGCTGAGGGGCGGCCTGAGGGGCTGGCCCAGCACGGCCTGGCAGCCCCTTGCCCACAGCTCCTGTCAGGAGCCAGAGCTGCTTCCAGCCAGGCACCCCCGGCTGTCCCGCAGCCCGGGGCCGATCGTGCATGGCTCAAATGGAATTAGCGTTCATTAGCCAGGGATATACACGGTCTACTTTAGGCGGCCAGAGAGCCCCATAACTGCCTTCGGCCACCCTTCCTTGTTATTGATGTGAAAATACATATTTCAGAGCTAAGGAGAGTTAGGCATTACTTTGTGCCGGTCAGGGCGTGTGGAGCAGATAGTTGCAGCCACACACACGCACAAAACTTTTCACTTAGTTATCTGCTTCTAGCAAACAAAGAAATCGATGGCTGTCCATTTTCAATCACATAATTCTCTTCATTAGTTAGTATTCTAACCTCTATTGGTTAGAACTTTCTTGCTTCTCATCCTAATTAGCACACATTTCTCTGACTCTTTATTATCTTTTTCCAAGGCAGTGAGTTATCCAGCATATATAAAATTGCCTTTATTAATCTCTTCATTGTCTAATGGTCTCTGCAACAACTCCTTGGATGGCTATAAACCCTGCATTTCACATGTCCACTTTTCAGCTTTGTTCACTGAAGCTCCTAAGTGTTTGTTTAGCAAAACTAAAAGGTTCCCTGATTTTCTCAATGAAACCCTAATAATAACACACTGTGGAAAGAAGTTTAGCTACCAGCTGGCCGAGAGGTGGACTTACACTTCTAAAGATTAATTTTAAAAACTAATTAAAAGTTATAAACTGCAAGCCCAATAACCTGCTGTAGGGCTTTGAAGCAGGAAGGACTAGGGGTTAACAAAGCATGTTTTGGAAAAGGGGCAGATAGAGTAGATGGCAGGTGTTGGAGGGAAGAACTTGGTTTGTCTTCCCCCACAGTCTTGGGGACAATGGCAGGAGAAATAATTTCATTGTCTTCTTTATGGACCATCAAACTGACATAAAACCTGCCTTGGAGGGAATTGTACAAAGGCTTCACCCAGGGAGACTCTTTGCCCTGAACTCCAGAGGAGAAAGGAGTCTATGCCCCAACAACCCTATAGCTCAGCGAGGGGATCACGGGGTTCCTCCTGCACCTCCAGCATGAGGAACAGCACCCCACTGCTTCCCCTGCAAAGGCTGATCCCAGTGGATGCTCCCAACCAGGCCATGGGTTTGCAGCAGTGCAGGAACTGGCTTAGATGAAACGCAACTCTTAAACTGACCAAAAGAAAAGCAATGAGGCTGTTCTCTCCTGGGAGACCTTTGATCCCATTTCAGCAGATAAAAGGACTACAAAACGACTGGAGGGGGACTTGGCACAAGGGCCTGGCATGGGAATGGCTTCACACTGAGAGAGGGGAGAGTTATGTGGGATATTGGGAAGAAACTCTTCCCTGTCAGCATGGTGATGCCTTAACAGAGTCTGCCCTGTTCCTGGAAGTGTCCAAGACCAGGTTAGATGGAGCTGGCAGCAACCTGGTCTAGCGGAAAAAGTCCCTTTATCTGTCCCTGACAGGGGGTGAAATGAGAGGATCTTTGAGGTCCCTTCCAGCCCAAGCCATTCCGTGACTCTATGACTTCATGAGTCTGTGACCCAGTGGTGAGGTCCCAGGGGTGAGGTGTGCTGCCTGGCAACAGGAATTGTGATGAAAAGGGGTTTGAGCAGAGCAGGCTCCAGTCCTCTGAAGGACACGGAAGGAGGAAGGAGCCTGTTGGCTTCTCACGTTTTTATTATTGCTTTTGCTGACCCCTGACAGACCCAGCTGGGCAGGAAGGCTTGTGACCAAGCAGGGACTGACTGTGTGCAGACATGGCAGCATCCCTGGACACACTCAGCCTCTCCCAGATGCTGGATCTCGCCATCGGGACGCCCCAGAAGGGGATCATTCACTTTGCAGCCATGCGAAAACTGCTGCAGGCCGTGCTGGAGCACCTGGACGTGCAGTACCTGACCAGCCAGGAGCCGTGGCCGGGCCAGCTGAGTGGCCCCTCACTTGCTGATGTGGCCACTGACATGGCAAAGATGAAGAAAGAGATGGAAGACTACAAGAAGCACATGTCCAAGGTAGAGGCTCTTCCCAGCCCCCGGGGCACTCCCCCAGCAGACAGCCCCTCCCCGCTTCCTCAGACAGCACTGCTTGGCACTGCCCTCACTGCCCCGGCACAGCCCCTGGCAGGGGCTCTTTGCCACCTGGATGGGCTTCAGTGCTCTGGCACCGAGCTGGGCTGGGGCAGGTGGCACTGGGACTCTCCCTGCCCACCTGGATTGCCACGGGCTGCCCGTGGCAGGGTGGGGCTCTTTGGGGTGTTGCTGCCCTGGCCATCACCTCTGACATCCCTGTTGGTTGGACTGTTCCACAGGTTCTTCGTGAGGAGTTTGGTGGGATAAAGGCAGAACTTTCCCACCTCTCCGAGGACATGAAGAAGTTCCAGGAGACACAGGTCTGTGCAGACCACTGTGGTTCTCAAGGTCATATTTCCCACACTCACTCTCCAGAGACTTGTCTCTGACAATGCTTTCTCTTAGACCATGGCTATGTCTCAGCATGAGGAAGAAATTGAAAAGTTAAAGGCTGCCATGCGTCATACGGCAGGGGAAATGAAGAAGATCCAGATGTCACGGGACGAGGTGAAGTGCTGCTGGGAGCAAGTTTTGGGTCTGAGAGAGCAGCCTGGACCCTCGGCCCTGCTGGCTGGAGGCTCAGTACCCTTGGCCCTGCCAGATGCATGGACCGTGCTGCCTGCAGAGCCCTGCCAGCCTGGCTGAGCCCGGCCCTGCGCTGTCCCCAGGGCTCCACAAAGCACAGCAGGGCTCAGGGCCTTGCAGGTCCCCAATGACCCTTCCACAGGCTCACTGCCACCACTCCTCTCTCCTAGGACATGGCTCTCATGCGGGATCTCCGGGAGGAGATGGACAGGATAAAGACAACACAGATCCTCATGGAGGGAGACATAAAGAAGATTAAGGAATCGCTTGCCTTAGTGAGCTGTTGGGCCATGTAATCTTTAGGCTCTCATGGGGGACATCAATGTGATTCCAAGAGCAGGGTTTGGGATCAGGGTCTCAGGACCAGGTGGAGGAACCTGGGTCTGCCCATGTAGCTGAAGGGCCCCCATGCTGGGACCAGAGGATGTCCGTGCCCTGACTCTTACCATCACTGGCTTTCCAGATGAAGAAGCTGGAGGAGGACCTTAAAAAGCTGAGGGAGGATGCAGCCAAGTGGAAAGAAGAGAGCAAGAAGGAGATCTCTCAGCAAATTGAGTAAGAGGACAGGAGTGGGTTTCATACCCTGTGGGGCTGCAAGGGAGCCCAGGGGGTCTGGCAGCATCCTGGTCTGCAGGCACAGCACAGTGCCCTGCAGCCCTGCAGGGGAAACCCTGAACTTGACCCATCCTGCTGGCCAGGGCTTTGCGTCAGGACACAAAACGTGAGCTGCAGAAGATGGGAGAGCAGCAGGAGATGAGGAATGCCATGCTGGAGCAGATGGTGACTCAGACAGCCGACCAGCTGAACGAGCAGGTGAGGTCCTGGGGAGCAGTCGCACCACCCCTGGCTTGGTCATGTTGGAGGTCCATGCCACATCCTCATGCTCTGTGGTGCTTTGCTGTAATGTGGGGGAGGCCCAAACTGCCCAAATTGGCCTGGACCAGTCAGCAGCATGGACGCAGATTAAAGCCTTGATGCAAACGTCCTGTTGACACTGAGAGCTCATGGCCACTGGCTGAGTCATGTGGGTCTGCCCTGTGGAGCAGCCAGACCCCCTTTGGTCATCAACTAATGTTCTTCCTACCCTGGAGCAGGATCAGGAGCTGCGCCAGCAAATGGAAGCCAAGTTTCTGCAGATGCAAAAAGACTACGAGAAACTCAGCTTAGCCTCAGGGATCCTCCAGAAGGACTCTCAACAAAAGCAGAAAGAAATCACGGTGTGTGGCTGAAACCCTTTTTAGGTCAAAGCATCCCTCAAGATGTGTCCGGGCAGGGATCACAGAGCATCTCTTGGCGATCTCCTCACAGCACTGTGCTTGTTCCAAGTGCCTTTCCCCAAGGTTTTTTGTGTAGGGGGAGAGGGTGATGCTCCCATATCCTGGGGTGTGCCCCAACCTTGCTGTGATGTCATGGGTTCCTTTTTGTACTGAAAGATGCTGTTCCAGTCTCTGGAGAAGATTCAGAAGGAGAAGGCAAATGAGCAGGACGTGATGGCAGCAATGGACATGGTACAGTCTCAATGGGCCTCTCTGCCAGCCCAAGGGTTTCCAGGCAGGGTGCCAAATGCCCCTTGTCCCTTGGGGGCTGGGTGGCAGAACTGGCCTGGGGAGGGAGAATTTCCCGAGCATGTTGGGGTTCCCTCACCCTCCCGATGGTGGGACCAAACCCACCAGGGTGATGGGGCACATGGGGCCACAGCACCCTGAAAGGGGCACGATGGCCTGGAGGAAGCACTTCTCCCTCTGCCCCTCACACGCGCTGGCCCTGCCTGTCGTTCCTCATCCCTTTCCCCACCGCTCTCCTGCCGTTCCCCTCTGCTAGAAGGCGGACAAAGCTGCCTTGGGCAGCAAAGTCGATTGCAGCCAATTTGAAGAGAACATGGAAGAGCTGGATGAGAGGATGCAGGAGTTGCAGAGCCAGATTTCGGGCCAGGAGGAGCACTGGAACAATATGCAGCATCAGTTCAGCGATGCAATTGAAGAGAAGGTGAGGGGTCCCTCATCTCCAAAATGACAAACTGGCACCTTTGGGACTGGACAGCCTGAGGCAGCATCCCTCTGAGGATCCCCCTCCAGGCTTTTCCCTGGAGGGCTCCATGTCACACCCCGGGGCAGCTGGCTGAGGCTGTGCACCTGTTCACAGCTGGATCGCCTGGAGCTGAAGGCTTTCCGTAAGCACATTGACGAGGCCTGGAACAGGAACATGGAGGAACTTGAGAACAGGCTGTTGCGTGAAAACGCTGCTGGGATTAAGAAGGGAGTGTGATGGAGATTCTGAAGGCTTTGGGGACAGCAATGGTCCCATTCCCTCCAGCTGTCCCACACGCTCCCCGTGTGCTCCCCTGCCTTGGGACCAATTCAGCTGCTCAATGAACCATGGGGATGCTGATGAAGCAGCTGCACCTTCTACCTCCACCAGCAGCAGGTTCCACACAGGAAAGGAGGCACAAGGACCGGGCACCTGCAGGACAGTGCCCTCCCAAAGCAAAATGGGGCTGTGGGTGCAAAGGCTCCCAGAAGCCAGGGTGGGAGATGGGAACTGCTCCTCCCAGGCAGGGCTGTGGGACGCAGGTCCCAGAGCTGGGTCATGCCCTGCCCTCCTGGCTGTGCACACAGGGGACTTTGGTGCCAGAGAGGGGCTGAAAGCACTGCAGGGGCTGCTTGGGATGGTGACATGTGCCCTTCAGCTGGCATCATCCAGCACGCTGGGGATGGGGAGAAACAGGCTCAAGAGCCCACGGTTCAGCCTGCAAACGCCGTGACCCTGTGCAGTGACCTGCCCGGCACCCGGCTGCTGCCAGCCGCTGCTGCCTGTGTGCGGGCAGGGCTGTGGCCCCAGGAGCTCCCCCAGCCCTCTTCTCTCACCCTCCTTAGGCAGCTGCCAGTCCCTTTCTCGTGCCTGTCCTGTGACCGCATGCTCACCGTGCAGGTCCCTGGCCAGTGAGTAGCACCAGTGCATGGGGGGCAGCGGGGCTGGCATGGGGGGAGATGGGTGCCAGCAGTGACCGCTGTGCTGGGCACAGGGTGACAGGGTCTGCTTGGGACGCCCTGATGTGGGGAGCCCCTCTGCAGCCCTGCCGGCAGCAGGGGTGTGGGCACTCATCCCAAGGCCTACAGGCAGCGGGGTACCATGGGGTACAATCCTCTGGGTTTGGGGGTGCTGCCTCCAACAGGAACAGGTTGTTTGTCCCCTGTCACACACCTGTGACTCCTGCCCTCCCCAGGTACCCCGAGACACTCCCGTATTTGCCGCCGCTGCCCCCCAGCAAGGAGCCACCGCACAGCCAAAGGTAAGGGCCCTGAGGACACATGCCCAGCTCCCGGGGTGCAGGCTAGCCCTGACACAGCAAGGAGGGCTTTTCCCGGTGTGGCACAGGCTTTTGCTTCCTACTTGGGGCTCCTGCAGCAGGTGGACAGGAGCTGGGAGGGACATGCCCCTGCAGGCAGCACTGCCAGTCCCCTCCCTGGCACAGCAGGGTGAAGCCCAGGATGCCACAGGGCTGGGCTCTGAGTGTCCTCTGCCCCATCCCACAGGAGGCCGATTGTCCATGGCAGTGTCCCCCGTGTGCCACAGAGCTCTGGGGACCGTCAGAGCAGCAGTTTCAAACTGCCCCCCATTCAGGATTCTCTCCGGAACAAGGCATTTCCGCAGGGACTCGTCACCCTTCCCAACAAGGTAGGGATGAAGAAGGTGGGGACATGGCATGTGTAATGCGGACTGGCAGCGTGATGCTGAGGATCCAGGGTGAATTTGTGCCTTCAGTTTCCTCGGGTAAAGCTGCTTTGGGAGGGCTGCTAGGGAATGCTGAATTGGGCCCTGAATTTCAGCGAACTGCTCTCTCCTTCCCAGCCCAGAGTGAGCCAGCTGCTGGGCAGGGGTGGACACATCCCGAGGGGCTGCAATGACCAGCTTCCTGTGCTGACCAGGACACTGGATGAGCCAGGTGTGGCCCTGTCAGGGCACGGGGATCAGGGGAGCAGAGACTGGTTGTCTGCTGGGTCTGCGCCTGGTCCCTGGGGGTCTCTGGCCAAGCAGGTGACCCTCCTGCTGCCCTGTCCTGGGCTGGCTGAGCTGAGCCAGACGGGGCAGCCCCGGGGACTGGGGGCTCACCCTTGCCTCTCACCCCCAGGCCCTGCCACCTCCTGGGACCACCGGCCAGGCACTGCCCCCCGACACGTCTCCAGGGCACCAGGGCTCCTCCTGCCAGCCCAGCCTCGTCACACTTCCACAGCCCTCAAGTAGCCGGACAGGACTGGGAACCCAGTGCTCCACCAGGGACGTCTTCTCAGCAGACAGAGAAGTCTGCCACAATTGTTGTCTGTTAAATCATTTTTCGTTTCATAAATAAAAGTCTTCTGAAAGACAAGCAGAGCCTTTTCCCACTGTCACTGAATACATGGGGATAAATACAACTATCTTACACTATTTTTACTGTTAGGAATCAGGCATCACTTAATTCCCAGCACTGGGATGTCTGGGAATAGCTCCACTCAGCATGCACCCCCACTCTCTAAACTTTTCACTATGTATTTTTATCAAAGGAATTAATGCTCATTGCCTATAAATTTCATATTTCTCTTCCTTAATTAATATTCTATCTTCAGTTTGGTTTTGATTTCTCAATTCTCATGCTGTTGCCAGCTAAAGAAGTGTTAGCTCCTGGTGGGCTCATACGATGCTCATTTTACCAAAGTCTGTGGAACCACACCCATCAATAGCAGGATAAACATTTACCAAGGAAGGGAGTAAAAGTACAGTCCACTGATCTAAGGTTTCATAATTTAAATAACAGGACAGCTAGATCAACTTTTCTCCTCATTTGCAGAGAAGCACCAGTTCACCAGGTAACTTAAACTGTCCACTTGTTTGGAAAAATACCTTATGGCCCTTTTCCATGTCCCCAGCCTCTGAGCTAACACCCGTAGTGCAACATGTCAGTGTTTGTGACCAAACAGCTCCAGAGGCTTGGTCACGTCAGGTAATGCCTGTGCAGGGCTGACATTAGAGCTCTCCTGAGGTCTCTGAAAGCCTCTGGCAATCTGGGGTCCACTGTAGCAGCTCCTTGCTGTAGCACCTCCTTGGGGGTTTCTCAGGGCCACATATCAAGCTCTTACCACAGGCCAGAATTAAGAACCCAGAGCCCACACCAACCACCCATTCCTAGAAATGTTCTTAACCTGCAAAAAGACCTTGTCTCTAGGGTTTGGCAAATTGCCTCCATCCTCTTGGTTCCAAGGCTTTGCTGCCCCTGGGAAATGGTGAACCTCAGATACAGAACATGCTCTTTAGCACTTGGGGCCTTCTTCTTGGACACCCTGTAACTGGCTTGTCCCAAAAACTTCAGGAAACTGAGAATTATTTCAATGCATCTAGCTTGAGTTCCTGTAGCAATTAAAAGATCACCCACATACTGTAGCAAAGTGGTCCCTTCATTCTCCTTTTCCCATCCTGAAGGGACTGCCGGAGCTTGGCTGGCTCTTACAACTCCGCTGCCTGGCCAGGAGTGGGGAACTGCCTCGGGATGGGCATTTACCTGAGGCTGAACCTTTAGAGGCACTTGCTCTAAGGTGCCAGACACAAGCCACCACAGGCACCACGAGAGGAGAAAGGAGGAGGCTCTCTGCCTTGAGGTTCCACAAGGAACACTTCACTCCAGGTGAAGGGAGCTCAAACAAAGAGCCCCAGGCACTCCTGTGCAGGGGTTTAGTAAAGATACAAGTCAGGGGTGGATGCAAACAGCCAACCAAGAGGGAATCCTCAGGGGAGGAGTGAGGGGATCACATCCAGTGTCTGGGGCCACTTGGGGCAGGGGGGTGGGGAGGATGGGGCACACGCGCCAGCGGGGCTTCCAGGGATAGGAGAATTCCAAAGGGTGCTGCAGACAGGGATTGGCCCAAGGTCAGAGTGGCACAGAAGGTTCGGGAATCAAGGCGTGGATTGCCTTGACAGGCAGGGAAAGAGCTGGACCAAGGGTGGGGAATGGCATGGGGGACAGCTTTGAAGGGGGGTAAAGCCCAGGGCTAAACAAACTCGGCGAGAGCATGGGGGTGCAACAGGATGAACCACTTAACAAGGAATCCATAAAATAAATCCAACCACAACACTATACCTCCAATTCTTTTGCCACTTGGTTCTTGTCTTGGGGTGGCAGTATGATACTGTGCCCCTTTTGTCTGCTTAATGCCCAGACAGGGGTCCTGTAACTTTAAGCAAGGTCTGAGAGAGGGGTGGAAAGCTGGTGGAATTCTTTTGGTGTGGTTTTCACACATCCTCCCCCAGGCTCGCTCAGCTGTGTTGTGCAGCATGGACAGAGGGAGTACATCTTTGCTTTTAGCTGGCTCCTTCGTTCTCTGTTTGACAATGCCAGAAGGTTTTCCAGTCCTGTGGCTTTTCCTCCTGGAACTGTTGGGCTTTTCCCCGGCCCGAACATCACCGGGAGCCCTGCGCCCCAGCCCGGAGGGGAGGCCCTGGGATGGCGTCCTGGCTCCAGACTTGGGAGGAGCTGAGCCACTCCTACAGAAAGAACTGTGAATCCACAGCTTTCTCCACAGCGAGAAGGTTTGACTATCTGACGTTATTCATTCTGTTTCCTGCGCCTGCCTGCACTCTGTGTGTTAAATAAACAGTTTTTTTCAGTTTCCTCAAAAACATTCCTTGCTGTGGGAGGGACTGCTGAAACCTGTCTCCTCTGAACTTGTCTCAAACTGAGACAGCTCTCAAACAATGTGGGGTGATTTTTGAACCCTGGAGGAAAATAGGTCCACTTCAGTTGGGTTTCATGGCCCATCAAGGAACTTTCCTTTGAATGGCGAACAAGAGTTGACTTTCAGTTTCAAGGACAATGCAGAAAAAAAGCATCGTTAACATGCACAACAGAGGACTCTTCAGGACTCATCAGATTACTTAATTTGGCTTAAAAGTGTATAAGGGCTTGCTACCACTGGGTCTAAGTCTCACACTATTGCACTGACAGCTCTGACATCTTGTACCAGCCTGTGTTCATTAGTATGTAGCTCCTTTCCCACCAGGAGATGAGTCCTATATTGTGGCTCACATGCCCTCAGTGATCCATCTTGCAAAACTTAGCAATTCATTCACCTAACCCTCTTCTCGCTTCTGACTTCAAAGAATAATTTTTTTCTGCCCAACCAGTTGCCCATCAGGCTCAAACAGAATCCTTACTGGTTCCACTGCTTGGATTTCCCGGGAATTCCGTTGGTCCACATCAACACAGTGACAGTGTTTTCTACCTCCTTCCAGAAGGGATGTGCAGGAGGGAAATATTGATCCAGGGTTCCTTGCTGAACATTCTGAGCATGCCCTCTCTCAGCCTCTTCCCCCACTTTTGCCATTACCACAATTCCCCCACCTGCAGTTAAAGGTGGGTCTGCAACTGCCTTACTGAAATCCCAGGGGTCTTTGCCTTGAACTCACTGGATTAGGGCATTGGAGGATCTCCCTGAAAAACCTTTGGAGTGCACTGGAGTCTTCTCGATCCTCTGAATCCATGGAGAAAAGAAGGAGCATAGTTCCATCTGGGTCACTAAAAACGGTCTCCAAAACGTGGATAAATGAAATCCTCAAACAGGATCATTTTAGTATTAGTGAGTTAGGCATTACTTTGTGCTGGTCAGGGCGTGTGGAGCGGATAGTTTCAGCCACACACACGCACAAAACATTTCACTTAGTTATCTGTTTCTAGCAAACAAAGAAATCAATGGTCATCCATTCTCAATTACATAATCCTCTTCATTAGTTAGTATTCTAACCTCTATTGGTTAGAGCCTTCTTGCTTCTCATCCTAATTAGCACACATTTCTCTGACTCTTTATTATCTTTTTCCAAGGCAGTGAGTTACTCAGCATATACAAAATTGCATTTATTAATCTCTTCAATGTCTAATGGTCTCTGCAACAACTCCTTGGGGGCTATAAACCCTGCATTTCACATGCTCACTTTTCAGCTTTTTTCACTGAAGCTCCTAAGTGTTTGTTTAGCAAAACTAAAAAGTTCCCTGATTTTCTCAATGAAACCCTAATAATAACACACTGTGGAAAGAAGTTTAGCTACCAGCTGGCCGAGAGGTGGACTTACACTTCTAAAGATTAATTTAAAAAACGAATTAAAAGTTATAAACTCCAAGCCCGAAAACCTGCTGTAGGGTGTTGCAGCATCTTTGAGAGAAAGAGGACGTGAGTTATGAGATTTGAGCTACTCCAGTCTAGGCCTCAGATTTGGGCCTTGTGGGCCTTCAAGCCTCTGACGCAGTTGGAAATTCAGAGCTTGTGGCGCAGATAGAAATAGTCTTAAGGTGTGATGGGGACCACTGGGTTGTCTGGGTGTGAATTAGTATAGGTTTTATAGTGTAAGGTGTAGGCCGTTTTAAGGAAAAGGTAAACAATGTTGGCCTACCAATCAGAGTGTCTTTGTTTTTGTAAACTATGTAGAAGCTTATATAAACTACCACCTTATCTTGAATAAACGGAGAACGCTTGATTAACCACATTGGTTCAGATCTGCGTTTGTCTTGTCCAGCTTTCCGTTTTTCTGAGATTCCCTGGCTTTTGTAGGGCTTTGAAGCAGGAAGGACTAGGGGTGAACAGAGCACGTTTTGGAAAAGGGGCAGATGGAGTGGATGGCAGGTGTTGGAGGGAAGAACTTGGCTTGTCTTCCCCCACAGCCTTGGGGGCATTAGCAGGAGAAATATTTTCATTGTCTTCTTTATGGATTGTCAAGCTGACATAAAACCTGACTTGGAGGGAATTGTACAAAGGATTCACCCAGGGAAAGTCTTTGCACTGAATTCCAGAGGAGAAAGGAGTCCATGCCCCAACAACCCTATAGCTCAGCGAGGGGCTCACGGGGTTCCTCCTGCACCTCCGGCATGAGGAACAGCACCCCACTGCTTCCCCTGCAAAGGCTGATCCCAGGGGATGCTCCCAGCCAGGCCCTGGGTTTACTGTGCCAAACCAGCGAGTGGCCACATCTGAAACCCAGGTGGAAGCAGCAGGTTGGTGATTCTCTCACAGGGACTGAGCTCTGTGGGGCTGCTGGCCCTTACCCACGGCCTCTGCCCAGAAGCTGCTTGGGGGATCCCTCTCTTGGTGAGCAAACAAACATAAATGGACCCTTTGGGCTTCACCTGGGCCTTTGTGGTTGTTGCGGTGCCCAGCCCGTGGTCACTCACACTGACACTTCACTGCACAGCAAAGCCAGGCTTAGTGCCTGCTCCACGGTGCAGGAAGGAACTAAGAGCATGAGATGCCACAGACGGGACACTGACACAGCAGATGAACAACTGGCTGAGCTGTAACTCAAGTCTTAAACGGATTAAAAGAAAAATAGTGAGGCCTCTCCTGTCCTGCG